AAATCACGAAAATTAGCAAATTATTTTGAGTTAAGAATTCGTAAAAATGTTTCTTTTTAAATCTTAGATTTTAAAATGTAATACAAAATTACTCATAAGTTTGTATACCTTTATCAATAAAAAAATCCCTACCGGAAAGTCAAATTAAATTTTTATGAGCGTTTGAAATTCAAATTTTTACAACATTGGATATTCACTCGATTTCTCATGTAGCGATTTCCTTATTTTGTTGTAATTCAAAAACGGATAACTGTAGATATATGAAATTTCACTGAATATTCGTATTAGCATTTCCTATACACCATACAATTTTGAATATTTTTTTTGAGCTGTTTACGGACATTGTCAGTTTTAAATTTTTAAGTTTTTTTTCTATAAATATCAATAAAGTTTTATCTGTTGGGCTAAAAAGTGTAAAAATTTAATACAAGGGTTCTGATATATTGTTATAATAGCAATTGAAAAAATCTAAAAAATATATGAACACAGTTATTTTTTACAGACATTTTAAATTCAAAAATGCGGTTTAGCTCCCAAACGATTTTTGAATATTTTTTTCGGATACCTATTATAACTTTTTCAAGTTTTGAAGTCCGCAAGTTTGGGTATTCCTACCAGTCGTGGGGGGAGGGGTGTTTGTTTTAATAAATTACTTTATTGACAATAAAATAAAAACTAGTACGATAGGTAGGTAACTTCTGATTTCCCCAAAATGTTAAGGATGAAAAATTCACATTTACAAAAAAAAAAAATTCAAAAATATTATAGAAATAACCACGTTTTTAGCCTTACCTAGTTTGTTGCCTTGCACTGTTGTATAAAAGTATACTTGAAAGTCTTGTGTTACGTAAATAATTTTTTTATAAATAATTAAAGCTTTGAAAATGATCGCTCAGCTAAGGTAGCTATAAGTCACTGGTATAGTTAGAAATATTATAATACCGATAAATACATAGGGTAATTTTGAAGTCAAGTCTTCCTTGACAATATTATCAGCTTAAAGCTATCATGAATACGTCAATATTTTTTAAATAGTTGGTTAGAAATTTGGAAGATAAATAGCTCATGATTATAATAAGTTAGAACGAGTGAAGTTAGAACTGATATCTTCTTTATATTTGGTAATAAAGTATTTAAGTCATATGCATAGAACAATGGTCATATGATGACTGCTAGCTAGGTACTTACCTACTTACCAAGTAATACAAGCTAAATATTGAAAAAAATAAGAAATCATTAAACAACAACAGACGTAGACATTTGAATCGCTACGACATTGGCACATTGCTAAAGTAGATAATAAGTTAATAGATGTATTTTTCCATTAGATACATAATAGAAAAGAAAATAATGAATTTAAAATATATTATGCACATGAGCAATATCAACTTTTGATTTGGGGGGGGGGGGGCTGAATATATTAAAGTCAAGCAGACCATTGCAATATAGCATTTTAAAATTGTATGTACTAGATTTTTTTTGGGGGGGGCTTAGCCCCCCTCCCCATTTTCGCCTGTGGCTGAAGTACACCAAATACAAACTGAAACCCGATTACTCGTTAAAATATTATAATATAATCTTTCTTAATCTCAGTCACCATTAAAATAATCGCGCCTGTCTAACCCGCTCTGCATCCTCCTTCCACCCGAGAATCGCCTCCACCATTCTGCCAAACGCCAACCTCAGTCCCTCCGCCATCGCCTCAATACGCCGCCTCCTGGATGCAGCATCTGGGAGGAGCTCCTGTTCCGGTCCCAGGATGATATCCGGCACATCATTGGGTTGTAGTGGCCGGCCGACGCATCGCTCCATCTCCCGTCTGTCTTCTGCCCAGAACGGACAGTTAAACAATGTGTGCTCCACAGTGTCGTCCGGCTCATCACAGTGCATGCAGTGGGGGTCATCTGCTCTCCTCCTCTTCCACAGGTAGGGCTGGAAGCATCCATGACCCGTCAAAGCCTGAGCCATGTGGTGTGTAGATTAGACCTATGGGAAGAAGATACGCTATTTTAAAAAGGGTTAAATTTGGTTTTTTTTTTATTCATCGGATTTTAGTACGGTTAGGTTAGGTTAGGATTTATAGGTAGGTGGAATTAAGTAAAAACGTCAAACTTGGTATAACTTTGGTACTTTTTGAGTTAAATCATACACTTACGTACAAACAGCACGGGGTCCGCGATCTACCGCAGGTAAATTACCTATCTGATAATGTACTGCTGCAATAATTCAGAATTTTTATTCCGGGCAACAGAAAAGTTAAGATAAATCTAGAACATCATACACCGAATATTAAATAACACATTGAACAATGTTTGAGTCATATAGAGTTTATTTATTTATTTATTTATTTTTATTTATCTCTATATTATATATAAAAATAAGTGTACATTTTGAATAAATCTTATAGCTCAAGATCCACGATAAGATTTCGATAAAAATTTCAGGGCATATTAAGATTTATATGTAGATGGTTTCTGTGAAGTTTGTACGCTGTGCGATAAATGGTTCCGGAGTTATGGCCTCATAAGTGCACACCCAGGTTACACCCTGGTGACATGACCAAAAACAACAACAAAATGTATGAAAAATGAAAAAAACGTCTGTTGACATGACAACAACAATTCTATTTTCTAGATAAATATTAATTGGTTTGAGATTAAACGAGATTGATTTTTATTCAATTTCAATTGTATGGATATGTAGATGGTTTCTGTGAAGTTTGTACAATGTACGATGAGTGGTTGTGGTCTCTTAAGTGCACAACTTTTGACATGGCCAAAAAAAAAATAAAAATAATAATGTATTATATTTTGGTTGCTATTGGTTAATCGGGCATGTTTGTTGATTTGTGTTATTATTTTTCGTCAATATATACATATATAATATATAATTGAATGTTTATGTGTAGATTAGACCTTTGGGTAGAAGATTGGCTAATTTAAAAAATTAAGTTTTTCTTATTCATCATTATTACGGTTATGTTAGGATTTTATATAATCGATTATATTAATCCACCATAGATAGAATACGACAAACTTGGTATAACTTTAATACTTTAGAGTTAAATCATACACTTACGTACACACAGCACGGGGTCCGTGATCTACCGCAGGTAGATTGCGTACCTGATAATGTACTGCAGTGAAACAGAATTTTTATTCCGGGCAACGGAAAAGTTAAGATTAATTTTGAAACCATACACTAAATATTAAATAACAAATTGAACAAAGTTTGAGTCACATAGACTAGAGTTGGTACACTTAATGGGCACCGAAGTGCACGGGTTCATCCACCATAGATAGAATACGACAAACTTGGTATAACTTTAATACTTTAGAGTTAAATCATACACTTACGTACACACAGCACGGGGCCGCGATCTACCGCAGATATATTGCCTACCTGATAATGTACTGCAGTGAAACAGAATTTTTATTCCGGCCAACGGAAAAGTTAAGATTAATTTTGAAACCATACCCTAAATATTAAATAACAAATTGAACAAAGTTTGAGTCACATAGACTAGAGTTGGTACACTTAAGGGGCAACGAAGTGCACGGGTTCAGCTAGTTTATTTATAATAATAACAGGCGTTAGCCTAAATAACAAGTGAATGCTTAATATTTAAATAATAATAGTAATAATAGATTTCTAAAAATAGAAATAATACAATAACAATAATGACCAATGATAATACAAAATATATAGGTGTCAACTATGTTGATAATAAGATATTTATGAAGAAGAAAAAAAAACAAAAGTGTAGGATAATAGTGACATTTTTAAAATAAAAATAATATAAAAAAATAATAAAAAAATAATTTTTAAAAACATGCTTTTCTTAATACTACTTAATAAATGAACGAAAAAGTTGAAAATAAACTTACTTTTAAAACAATTTCTTAATGAAACTTCAAGGTTAACAAGATATTACTAAAAGTGTTTATAAAATGTATTTGTTGAACAATTTTTAAAAATTCTGAATTACAAAAAAAAGAAATGCATGGGGCACTTATGATAACTCCTACGTAAGGGCACTCTACAACTGAATCTTTAGATAAACTTTATGATAAATATTTTAAAGATTATTGATCACACTTCCAATTTTGTAAGAGATATTCCTGACTCATAAGAGCCACGGTTTTAATTGACAGGTCATTATGTATAGTGTAATTCGAAACAAAGGTTGTAGCATTAGTAATATTCCAAAGAGCAATATTCTGAAATTGTTGAATTTTGTTGTTATTGGACACTTTTATGAAAATAGATAACTTATATACTTATGATAAGTCATACGTAAAGTCACTCTACAACTGAATTTTTATATAAACTTTATGATAAATATTTTAAAGATTATTGATCACACTCACAATTTTGTAAGAGATATTCCTGACTCATAAGAGCCCCATGCATTTCTTTTTTTTGTAATTCAGAATTTTTAAAAATTGTTCAACAAATACATTTTATAAACACTTTTAGTAATATCTTGTTAACCTTGAAGTTTCATTAAGAAATTGTTTTAAAAGTAAGTTTATTTTCAACTTTTTCGTTCATTTATTAAGTAGTATTAAGAAAAGCATGTTTTTAAAAATTTTTTTTTTTTTTTTATTTTCTACTTTTTAGTGATAACTATAAATTAGAAACAAACGATTTTTTGAAAGCATAATATTTATTATTTTCGGTACATTTGAATATTATAATCAACTATGTAATATTATATTTTAATTATCTCAGTTCCCGCCTTCTTTCCATTTCTTCGAGGGCGTCAATATTACATGGTGTTCTTCCCATCAGCTTTGAACAGTCTAATTGTTCAATTCTGAGGCCTTGCAAGGATTTCACTCTCCTAAGAGTAACGTAAGCTTGTCCTTTTGCAAAGAGCCTTGGTCCTAGATAAACAACAGCATGATCGACGGTGGAGCCCTGTAACTTGTGTGCGGTTACTGCCCATGACAAAATTACTGGCAACCATAGACATAATATAGATATCTATATTATGTCTATGCTGGCAACATTCTACGCTCAGCAGTACCATAACTGCGCATCGCAGGAAACTGAATAGATATGGGCTCTATTTTATGGATACCATCTCTTCCAAAGTCGACGCGAATTGATTTTGGTATACATTCATCATAAAGTTGATCTCTAGCAAAATTGGGCCAGTTAATCTCTGTGATATTTCCAATTGCACCATTTACAAGTCCTTGAGATACATTTAAGTTTGTTCTAAGCATAACTTTAGCCCCTACGAAAATTTCGATTTCCTTTGGCAAACCTCCAGTTTTGTCGTTATTTTTAGGAATAATAGAGTCAATTGAATTGTCATTACCAAGATTTATTGACCATTGTCTAGTAATGTTTAGATTTTCCAGACGTTCAGTAACTACGATAATACCCGCTTCATGGGTTGACCTTGGCAGCATTTCCGGTAATTTTTCAATGAATTCAAAAATGTCTAGTGCAAAAAGAACTGCCTGGCCTTTGAAACCCCACTGTCCATATAAGCCATCATACTTAATAATTTTTACAAATGGTATTATTCTCGACAGTAATCGTTTTTCTGCCCGTGAAAGAAGGTGGATTTCATTTGGTATAACGCCAGGATCAAGTTTATTCCAAAATGCTTTTGGAGGTGCAGTAGTTTTTCGACTAGACAGATGAGTTTTGCAGCGATGACAAAGTAATAGTTGTTTTTTTTGGAATAATTCAATTGGCAAATAATTAGGTTTATAATTAGAAAATTTTAATATTGAAACCTGGTTAGGGTAGCATCGTTTTGTACAAACTTCACAAAATTGATCACAAAATGTGTTAATTGCTTTTTCAAACTCTATTTCGCTTGCTGAACGTTCCAGCCGCTGTCTGCGTATATTTTCCAGATGGGCTTCTCGATCTTGGGGAGTCTGTGCTGCACAACGTTGTAGATACCGTTCATGGTCCGCTTGCTTCCGGGATTCTCTGCTTTCTGGATTTTCTGCAGCGGCGCGTTGTAAATATCGTTCATGTTCCGCTTGCCTCCAGGCTTCTCCGCTTTCTGGAGTTTCTTTGTCCCGTTGTTTAATCCTGTTTTCGCGTTGTTGTAAAAGGCGTTTATTTTTCATTGATGGCGTTTCTTCAGCTCTTAATTTTTTTTGGGCTTGGCGATTTTTATATAATCTTGCCCGTTTAGCTTTTGAGCCCTCGTTAGCCTTCTTTTCTTGATACTTTATACGAGCTCGTTCAAGGCGCCTTTTTCGTTGAGTTGCGGGCTCTTTATACATTATTATTTGTTTACTATTTTATTATCTATACGCTTTGTCAATCTCTATGTAAGATTTTCTTACTGTTTTAACAATGAAACGCGTTAAAAGTTAAAAGTAATTATATTATTATAATAGTTTTATAACAATAAAACATCATAAATAAGTGCCTCAAATCGAGCGCGCAAGATTTGATGACAACAGGAATGAAACATTGTGAGTTAAAGAAAAGCATGTAATAATAATAATAATAATAATAATAATAAAAAGATCTTTGTTTCGAGTATTGTGATTGTTAATTTTGAATGATATAAGGCTAAGGATGAAGGAATCGTCGATTTTGTTGTTTAATAATTTATTAAGGAATATAGAGTAGGAATTTTGTCTTCTATCTTTTAATGTTTTTAAATTTAATTTATTAAGAATAATATCATAACCAGAGTAGGGCAGTCTAAATATATTGCATTTATGAGAAATATATTTTAAAACTTTATTTTGCACTTCTTCAATTTGTTTATTATGAGATGGAGTTGGTACATTTAACAGGAAACGAAGTGCACGGGATCAGCTAGTCTATATATATAAAAATGAATGTATGTCAGTGTGTCAGTGTGTCTGTGTGTCTGTGTGTCCATGTTACCATGGTTACCAAGGTTGCCATGGTTACTAAGGTTACCAAGATTTCATATCAATCTATATATATAAAAATGAATGTATGTCAGTGTGTGTGTGTGTGTGTGTGTGTCCATATTACCATGGCAACCATATCTGTATATAAAAAACAGTAAGCTGATTGACTGCTATCAACGCACAGCTCAAACCATTGGACGGATCTGGCTGAAATTTGGCATACAGATAGCTATTATAATATAGACGTGCGCTAAGAAAGGATTTGCCAAAATTCGCATTTTAAATAGGTGCTGAAACAGGGACATTGAGATTCACGATAGAAATTGGAAATTTTATTTTTATTTATTTATAGTTGCCATTGGTTACAGTCTACATTAGAAATTAGCATTTATTTATTGGTTGCCATTGGTTATTCGGGCAGATCAGGTACAAGCTTGCATCAAATCGAATTATTGAACAATGCTTACCAGGGTGGCAGAGTTGCACTTACCGCAGAAAATTACACCCAAAAGGAGTTCAACAATCATAATTTTTTTAAGAGTTGCGATTTTTTACGAGCAACCAAATTTATAAACTTGGTATAACTTTGATACTTTAGAGTTAAATCATACACTTCCGTACAAACAGCACGGGGTCCGCGATCTACCGCAGGTAGATTGCCTACCTGATAATGTACTGCTGCGATTCAGAATTTTTATTCAGGGCAACGGGAAAGATAAGATAAATTTTGAACACCATACACGTTAATGAATTGAACAAAGTTTGAGTAGGTAGTATTGAGTTGATCCATTTAACGGGCGACGAAGTGCACGGGATCAGCTAGTATTATTATAAAATTTGTAATAAAGTTCCATTTTTATGTTGATATCAGATATTGTGTTTTTTTTTCGTGTTAAGAAATATACTTTGTTTTATTTATTTCAATAGAAAGGTGTTCCTCACTGACCATGCTCGTGTGAATTAAGTGTTAACCAACGGTGTTTTCGTTAAATTCGTAAAATTGAATGCATTCCTAGTTGGTATTTTTAAAAATCTTAAATGCATTAAGTAAAAAGGTAAATATTACAATGCCTCGTGAGCACTATTATAATATATTTAATTAAATAAAATTAAATTTAAAAAAAAATCAACATTTTGTTGAAAAAATAAATTTCATTGTAAACAGATACCTAAGTATATCATTAAATAATAAAATGTAGTACATAATATATTGTTTATAAATACAACGTCAGTTATACTGACTTACCTACTTCGAGTGAAAATGAATCAATTTACATTATTTTATTAATACATTTTGAAAATATCAATATTTTATCAATTTTACTGCATTTATAAATATAAATAAAGCTATTGTAGGATCTTATAGATATAAAATATAAATCATGTAATATTGACATAGTTAAGTTTAAGACCTTTAAGTAAAAGCCATATTATGGTGGGAGGTGATGAATAATATTATTGTACAGTCTTGTGAAATACCCTGTGGGCTGTGGCCTACATAATAAAACAATAAATAAATATAAAAACAGAAAAGACTCTAAGAAATAATAATTTTTAATAAAAATTAAAGAAATAATATTATACATCTAGCATCCATATACAATAATATAAATTATAATATACATTATACAATTATACAAAAGTGAATAGGGTGTCTGGGTGTGTTACCAATCATGAAATGGCTTCTAATCTTGTGTATAGACGTCATACTGAAGCCTAAAACCAATATAATAAGCGTTACTTATTAAGTAACTTATTAAAATACATTATTGGGTAAAATAAAATAAATAATTTAATGATATTCGTCATTTTTCCTTATGATTACCGGATACAATATCAATTATTTGTTAAATACTGAGCGACTGCAATTGGACAGACAGGGTTGTGCTTACATCACTTACGGTCAGACCAACAAGACTGACACTATAAGTCAACAAAATGTAAATGATAACCAAGTAAAAAATTGAACCACCTTTTTTTTAACATCAGCAAATATACAGCTATCAAAAATAATGAAAATATATAAGTACCTACCAATACGTAATTTTAAATTTCAAGGCTGTAAAAAGTAGTTTTAAGTAAAAAAAAATTAAAAAATCTTCTGTTACAATGAAGCTTAAGGTATATATTTCAGATGTTGTACTCAAAATAATACTGACCACCGATGAGGTTAATTATAGTACATATTTATTATATAGTAACAACAAACAATAAATACGTTACAAAAATATACTCCGAGCACCTATAACTAAGTAAACAATATCAATGTAATATTATGTCTCCTACCTATTCCCTCTCAAGTTATATACAATTCTATACTATATTAGTATAATCTATATAGGTTCTATTCAAATAATTGTTATGCGCGTCATGCACCTTTTTGATTTTCAAATTGATATATAACAATTTACATCTCTATAAGTAAATTTTTTTAAAACCACTTACAATTTACAATAATACAATTTTAATATTATCCTGAATTCATAATTGACTTCTACCTTTTGTAAATTATTAGTTATTTACTTATTTACATAATATTATAATACATATTTTCCCATTAAGTGTACCAACTCTATGTGACTCAAACTTTGTTCAATTCGTTATTTAATATTCGATGTATGGTTTCAAAATTAATCTTAACTTTTCCGTTGTCCGGAATAAAAATTCTGATTCGCTGCATTACATTATCGGGTAGGCAATCTATCTGCGGTAGATCGTGGACCCCGTGCAGTATGTACGTTAGTGTATGATTTAACTCTATTACTCTAAAGTATCAAAGTTATACCAAGTTTGTCGTATCCTACCTATGGTGGATTAATATAATCAATTAATACAAAATATTAATTTAACATAACAGTACTAAAATCAGATGAATAAAAAAACCTAATTTAACCATTTTTAAATTAGAAAATCTTCTTCCCAGTCCCCAGAGGTCTAATCTACACTCAAACATTCAATTATATATATGTATATATTGAAAAAAAATAATAGTACAAATCAACAAACATGCCCGATTAACCAATAGCAACCAAAATATAATACACTATTATTATTTTTTTTTTTTGGCCATGTCGCCAGGTTAAGAGGCCATAACTCCGGAACCACTTATCGCACAGCGTACATACTTCACAACCATCTACATGTCAATCTTAATATGCCCTGAATTTTTTATAGAAATCGGTTTGGTGGATCTTGCGTTATAAAATTTATTCAAAATGTACACTTATTTTTATATACCTATATAGATTAGGTATATTTATTATTGGTTGATATTGGTTAATCGGGCGGTACAAGCATACATCAAATCAAATTTCCGCATTATATTAGTCCACCACATTATATTAAAATAAACTTGGTATAACTTTGATACTTTAGAGTTAAATCTACACTTAAGTACTGGGTCCGCGATCTACCGCAGGGCGCAGGTAGATTGCCTACCTGATAATATACTGCTGCGAATCAGACATTTTATTCCGGCAACAGAAAAGTTAAGATACATTTTGAACACCATACACCGAATATTAAATAACGAATTGAACAAAGTTTGAGTCATATAGAGTTGGTATATTTAACGGGCAACGAAGTGCACAGGATCAGCTATTGTATATATATATATTGACAAAAAATAATAATACAAACATCAACAAACATGCCCGATTAACCAATAGCAACCAATATATAATACACTATTATTATTTTAATCTGCAACAATAAACTACATTTTAGATTCTGAGCGGAGCGAGGAAGCTAGGGGTTTACAATGGTGTTTATTTTTTTTATTTATTTTTTTATTTTATATCCTGTATACAAAATTTCTACCAGAAGGAGTTCTTCTATTTCAACATATAGTACCTTATCTTTTAGAAAATTGGATCAAAGCGGTACTTTAAAGAGGTCATTTTTCGATTTTATCAATATTTATTAAATGCCACTGTAAAAACCACCAAAAAATTACGAAAAACTGCTAAAATTTGGATTTTAATTTCTAACGCTTTGTTTATTACCATAAAAAATAATAATATTATAATATTAATTCAACTTACATGATAATATAATAATTAATGACAATATAAAATATCCAGACTGACAAACCGTCTCCACTCAGAATCGTTTTTCTTATACAATGATAGAATATCATTGAATTCAAGCTTAATACAATCCATTATACAATGACCCACTTGTAACCTACTGTGCAGCAGAGTGATTTCCACTTACCCGCTTTTTTTGAACATTAAATGCTTATAAAAAAAAACTGTGATTAAGAATTTTTAATATTTTTCAAATGCCATTGTAACAATATATTAGGATCCTTGTATTAAATTTTCAAGCTTTTTTAACCAACAAATAAAATTTTATTGATATGTTTAGAAAAAAAACTAAAAAAAATGGAA